ATATGCAATTTACCAATGTGGCATGCAGGGTAGAGACACTCAGATATAAGCATAAACTGGTGGAGCAGCAGAGTTAATGGCAGGTCTGCTTTTAGAGAGTAGATTATCATGGAAAGTAAACAGAGCTGTTTACATGCAGAAGAGAAAGTTGGCTCAAGCTTCTTCCTTGTGTGATTTGACTGCTCTGAGCTTTAGGGTAAAATGCCTGAACTAAGATACAGAGCTCTGTAAATTTTATATTTTATACAGAATGCCTACAGTTCTTGAATTAAGTAATTAATATAAACATAGAGCCTCCCGGCCCTTTTTGTTTTTCAAAATTAATGACTTCTATATTTGATGACAATACTTATTCTGAACTCCTGGCCAGGTATGGTAGAGAAAAACAAAACAAAACAAAACAAAACAAACAAAAAGCTAATATGCAGTATTTCTTTCCTACCTGTTACTGTAGAATCACAGGGCCATGTGGCTTTAACGCCCAGGTATTCACTCAGTGGAGGAAGGTTTTTGATGTTGTATTCTGGCTATTTAGGATACAGAGGTACACAAAATATTGTCTCTGCTGGGAGAGGCTCATGTCCAGCACGGGAGGAAGACAGATGAACAGAATTATTATCATAGAGGGTGGTGAATTCAGGAACAGAGAATACCTGTCTTTCAGCTTGCTGTGATACCCTGCCTACTGGGAGACACTGGGGCCTGGTCTCTCAACCTGAAATGGGATATTGGTGGTGACAGTGGGGGCAGGATTAGTGCCACAACAACAGTAGCTAGTAGGTCCCTGTACAACATAGAAGGGGACTAATTAATTCTAAATGGTCTAAGAAGTCTCCCTTGTTTTATAAAAGAAGAAACTGAAGTTTAAAGGAGTTAAAAAGAAGGTCTCCCATGGGAAACTGAAGAGCCCTCGGGAGCAGCAGGGGGAAGAGGACAGAGGGCTGTTCCTCTTTGGCAGCAGCCACTGCTGCCTTCTGTACTCCCCTCCACCCCGCAATTCTGCTCAGACCTTTGCTCCTTCCCTTCCTGCCCTGGAGCATACTGAGCAGCACAGGGATTAGACACTTCGGAAGCAGAGCTCTGTCCAAATCTCTGTTTCATTCCTTAGCAGCCTAGAGACCTTGAACAAATGACTTCCTCTCTTGCTGCCTGTTTCATTAGCTGTAAAATGGGGATCACAAACAACTTGCCTTGCGGGGTCCTGGTGCAGTTTAATGAGTTGTTACCTGGAAAGTGCTCAGTACAGGGCCTGCGGGCACGCAAAGATTGTGAAATCTTTTAAACTACAAAACAAAGTATAAAAAGGAAAGTAGAGATTACCCAAATGCTGAACCCAAGAATAATTGCCATTAGTATCTTGGTGGATATAACTCTCTATGGCTCTCTGGACACAATTATATAAATGTAAATTTAATAAGTGCTGTTACATCAGAATGCAGTTCAATGAACTGCTTTTGTCACTCACCAAAGATATCTTGGGTATCTTTTCATGTCAATAATCATAGATCTCATAATCACTTGTAGAGGCTGATTTGTACTTCATTGTATAGATACACCATATTTATTTAAGTCATCCACTAGAGATGGCCATTTAGGTTGTTTCCAATATAGTACTTTCGGTTTTACAAAACACTGGCATCAAGAAATACTACATACAGCCAGCTCTGGGCCCTTGTCTGACTGTTTCCTTAGGGCAACTTGCTGTAACTGAATGAAAGGGTACAAAACCAAGGACATGTGTCCCAGTAGTGTAATTCATATTGGGAAAAAGGTTGGCTAGTCAGCCGGTGTGACAGGACCGACATGAATGTGACTTTTGCAGTAACTCAGGGCTTGGCTGTAGGAAAGTAATAGGCCAGTGGTCAGTTTGTGGGAAGGCAAATATTTGGAGGCTGTCTCTGTCTACTTGTGTCAAACACATTGTTCGTATGCTCAGAGGTAATTTTTCTGACCCAAGGTGGGACTCTATGGGAGAATTTACTGACCTCTGAGTGCCCTACAGTTTCTCTGAGTTGCTGGATTTTCTATGAAATCAGGTTAGGGGAAGTTCAATTGATTGAAAAATGTCACATAACTTTTGAGAAACCTTCTGCGGGTATAATGTCCATGAGTATTTTACATCAATATGGCTTGAGGTAGATTTTTCCAGGCCCCAAACTTTCCTTATCCCCTGACAGTGATTCTGAACTTCTTCTGTAGCAAATGAGGCTAGGATGTGAGGCAACAAACAAGAGTGGTAGCCAGGAGCAGCCCTGCACCCCACCCCAGTTAGTGAATACTACTGGACAGATAGAGTGAGAGGAAATGGCCACAAGAGGACACATCAAGGCCTGGAAGCTGAGGCTGGCTCCTCTCACAGGTGAAGGAAGGAAAGTAAAGACGTGGACCCCCAACCTAAAGCAGAGGTTAGCCAGTCTACACATTTCCTTCCAACCCACCTTCCTGATACATCAGAGGCAGTTTTAGGGTGGAACATTCTGCCACACAGACTTGGAGTGGGTGAAGACTGACCAGGGAGGACCAGTGAAATGTAACTCCTAATGCCACTTTCAGTCACTAACTGAAGGGAAAAGCAGAAACACAGGCTAAAATCTTCAGAGACCTAAATACCCCCAGAGCAGTTTCAAGCACTTTGTGTATATAAACCCATTTGTCTCACAACAACCTTGGGAGGCAGGTGCCTTCATCATTCCTATTTTATAAATAATAAGGAAACTGAGCCCCACAGATGAGAGATTATTTGGTAAAGATCACAGATCAAGTAAATGGGAGAACTGAGAACCCCCATAAGTTGGCTCTAGGGTTCTTTATTTTCCATTGCTTCTCTTCATTATTATGATATTGCTTTTAATAATAGGCATTAGTTTTAACCAGATACTCTTAAGATGAGCAGGTCAGACATGGGGTGACTCTAGAGAAACAAATGGGATCACTTTTGGGCAGGTTGATCAAAGTTTGTTTGTTTGTTTTTTTGTACCGGGGATTGAACTCAGGACCTTGCACTTGCAAGGCAGGTGCCAGAACCACTGAGCTAAATTCCTGGCCCATTTGTTTGTATTTTAGTTACCTTATGCAGGCAGGCAAGTACTCTACCACTGACCTACACCACCAGCCTCCAAGGCAATGTTTCTTAAGAGTGATTAAGGGACAGAGAATATAGTCTTTAGAGAACAATAAGGATGCCAGCTGGGGGATCTGTGATGTTATCTGATGCCAAAATGTTTTGCATTAAAAGTAAATGTATGCTGGCATCTTCACTTTTACTCTTTGACAATTCTAGTTCCTTTCCTTCCCCTTTGTCTTCCGTCCCTCCTTCATAGGCTGCAACTACTTTGCACCCAGTAGACATACACACCTGTCATTACGGGACAGTTGACCCAATAACCAGGATGACTACTAACTGACTAATGGGTGGATAGCAAACTTGAATCCAGGTGAGGGACAACAAATGATTTCATGCTTTGGTGGTTTGTGCTATAGTTTTGGCAGTAATTTAATTGTATCTTTTGTTTTGTTTTTGGAGGAAGAGCTATGCCCATAAGTCATAATAGTACTGTATATATCAGTCTTTGCATTTTAAGGGTAGGGTGGATGTCTAAGTCATTTCTGTACTCTCCATAATTCTTAGTGGATACAATAGGCACTCTATGGATGTTTAATAAAGAGGGTAATTAAATATTTATGATTGTTGACCTATCTAGTTAGAAACCACACTGGAACATTGTTCTATGTTTTGTTTTCAGTTTGACTAAAGAATAGAAAGAAATGTTTAACTTGAGGTATAAAAAGAATTGCTTTCCACTAGAAAGCTGTTTGTTCTGAAATTAGCAAAGAACGAGACTACTCTCTTAAAAACAAAACAAAACAAAACATGATTTATCAAAAATAAATACTTTCTAAATTTCCCCTAAATAAGTCACATTATCTAAGTTCAGCTTTTCAATAGCTCAACAGTTATGGGCACAAGAGACCCATAGAACTAAAACAAAACAAAACAAAACATCAACAACAAAAAAACTGATGCCAGAACTTTAATTGTGCAAATTGAAAAAAATTGTAGTTAATTTTGGCATTATGGAAAATTCTAAAATTATTATTGATTAATTTAAATCTTCAAACTGGCACAAATTTAATTCAGTTAAACTTTCAAGAGATACAAAAATTAAACACTAAGTTTTAAAACATTTAAAAATTTAAATAAATAAATATTTAATAAATAAAAATCTTAAATGTTAATTTAAAAGTTTTAATGTCATCCATGACTAATAATCTGGATTTATAGCTATTAGACTTTAAAGTAAATTAATAAACCATTGCTTCTTATCAATATATTAATATACAAATTTATTGCAGGCTTCCTAAGCACTAGGCATTGTGCTAAGCACTTGAGATATTCTGCCTTATTTAGTCTTTACTCCCTTTACCTAGAAGAAACAGGTTCAGTGAAACTAAGTGCCATACCTAAGATCAGACAGATAAGAAAACTGGAACTTGGGTCTGATTGGCTCCAGGTCTCAGTGCGTTCTCTTATTCTTCCCAGTTATGCACACATTTCTCAAGATAGCTGGATTTTTTTTTTCTTTCTAGTCATCTGAAATGAAGCAATCCTTACAGCAGTGAGTTCCCATGTTTTTGTTTTTCAGTCTTTTCCTAAATGCTGGAATCATCAAATCAAGTTTTGAGGTTCCCATACAACTTCAGTGTCCCAGGAAGAGATCATTTTGTTTGATTTCATGCACATTAACATTCACAACTTACCCTAAGCTTGGTAAGTCATATATGTCCAGAAAGAAGTGAAGCTTGACAAATGAAGTCCACTCTTGCTCATGTGCTATTGCTGACAGTTTTTCATTATTTAGGCCTGATGTGGCATTTTCTTCAAATTTTACAACAAAAGTTCTCCTATTGTTTCACTTATGTAAATATGTTGTTGTCTACTGAATAACTTCTCCTGAGCTTTCTCTTTTTATTTCTCTCCACTGCAGAGCATGGAGGTAAAAACAGCCTTTTGTGTCTGTTGAAGTCTGGATACTTGATCTTAAGGCAGGCAGCCAAACTTTTCCATGAAGAAACCAAGATGCTAAGAGGGGAAGCCTCCATCTGGGGGATTTGGGTAGTTACTGATGACCCCCAGAATGCTGACCAAAGCCCCACCTATTATGCCAAAACACTTGAAAGGGTATGTTAAATTCAGTTTTCAGAATGTATAAATATAAATTGAGATCCTTTGGAAAGCTTTCCAAAAGTCCAGGTCTCTTAATTAATATCTCATGTCTGTAGAAGCATGAACAAGGGGTTGATTTGGCCCACTTATTTTTTTATAATGCTATAGTATCATTTATCATCATGCAACTCTAAACACACAGCTGCTTAATCTGAGACCATAAATTAACTGCTTCCACAAGTTAGAGCCTCTGCTAGGAGGGAGACCAGGGAAAAACAGGGAAAAATTAATAGAATAAAATTATTTGATTCGGTTAAGTTCAAGTCCAGACTGAAATTGTGGGTGGCTGAATGCAGCTTTTCAAACTCCCTCATTTTTGGCATTTGTATTTGGCCTCATACGTTAACAAGATTTATCATTTCCTTAAAAGTGCATGAAAGTCCCTGGAAGGTAAACAATTAAACTCAGACTTTTTTTTAAAAAGTATAATTTATTTGAAATAGGTAAGATGTTTACAAGTCTCAAAAATCAAAGGGTGCAAAGGTTGTACAATAAAATTCTCTCCCAACTTGCCACCTTAGAGGTAGGCAGTTTTATTAGTTTCTCATGCATCCGTCTAGCTATATAGTTTTTTCATATGTAAACAAAAATGCATATTATTTTCCTCTCCTAAAGTGTAAAAATTATGTCTAGAAAGTTATATACCATATGTAATGTACAAATTAAATGCACTGTGTAAGTATTCATACCAAGAATCCAATGTAAAAAGTAATTCTTAATAGTATGCATATTATATATTCAATTAATATAATGTACAAAGTATAATGTACCATACTCTTTGTTCCATATCTTTTTTTAAGAGTAAATACATCTTGAAGATATGATCCATCAGTACAGATATTTTGTGGCTATCTGCTATTTTCCAATGTCTGGATGTACCACCATATTTATTTAACCACTTCCCTACTGAGAGACATTTAGGTTGTTTCCAGTGTTTTGTTATTATCAATAAAGCTACAATGAATAACTTTATACATATCATTTTGTACATATGAGAATATAGCTGTAGGGTCAATTGTAGAAATGGAATTGTAGGGACATTTATAATTTTGATAGATATCACCAAATTATCCTCCCCAGCAATTGTACCAATTTATAGTCCTACCAGTAATGTAAGGCAGCACAGATTTTTTTTTTTCAATTTTTATTAGTCCATGTTTGCAGTACGTGATGGTCATATTCCTCATGGGGAAGGGGTACAAGCACAAAACACTTCTGTTCTTTTTGTCATCCTATTCCCCCTACCTTCTCCTCCACCTCTTAGGTTGGCTTCCTCTTTGCAAAAGACCTACCTCTGTATTTCCAATTATCCATCTTTCATTTTGTTCTTTATTTATATTTTGGGTTTCTGATATAAGAGGATATTTAGGATTGTATGTCTGATTTATTTCACTTAACATTATAGACTCAAGGTCCATCTATTTTCCCACAAGTGACTCACTGGCAGCCCACACCATTAAATGAGATATCATACGCTCCCCAAGTGCCTGGCAGAGCATATATGCCCAACAAATGATAATTAGCATGATTAATTAATGATAAAACCTCACCACTGATATTTCATTTGATCAAACTCTGACTTCTTTCAAAATATAAATGATTCTGGAAATGTTTACATTATTATAGGGGGAAATTGGCTTATTACATCAATTTCCTTGAGTCTTTAGGAGTCTCATGTAGGAAAAAAAGTCTAAAACCAGGATGTATCTGTTTTCAAAAATTTGGTCATGGATACTAATAGTGCCAAAATTAATTTTGAGTTGTCAGCTGTAAAATAGTAATAATCTATGTTTTCTAAAATATGTAGGTAAAAATACATTTCAGGTCAAAAGCCAGTTGTAGCAGACAGGTTGTAAAAGGTTATAAAAGGTTGTAAAGGGTTGTAAAAGATTGTAAAAGGGATTGGAGTATCCCTTTGAGAGTCTTGAGAGATGCCTAGAAGGCTAGTTAAGAACACTTCCAGTGTGTCATGGAGTGCGACCATGGGGGCTACATGTGGTCTCTGGCCCCTGCTCCTTGGCACTCTCTCTGCTTTCTGGCCACTTGAGGTGAGCAGCTTTTCTTTGCCGTTGTCCTTCTGCCATGACATTTCTGTCTTGAAGCCAGCTAACCATAACTAAAACAGAGCTAAAAGAAATCCTTCCTCTTTTAAATTGTGTTTGTAAAGTATTTTTGCCACAGCAATGAAAAGCCAACTGATACACCCTTTAATGTCACAAAATTCTAGCCAGAACTGTGACTACCAGAGCCAGTCAGGAAGACTGATTCTATGTTCTTCCTTAATTGGAAAGGTGAGATATCTTCATGCACAGCACCTATTTTGCTGCTTTGATTCCTCAGGGTCTGGCATAAATAGTATATTATTATTATTATTATTATTATTAT